GAAAAGTGTGTTTTTTTTCAAAAATTTCAGGTATTTTTTGTTTTATTTAGCAAAAAATAAAAAAACTCAGTGGTGATTAAATACCACCAAAAGAAAGCTCTATTTGTGTGAAAAAAAAGATAAAAATTTCATATGGGTGCAGTGTTGCATGGCGCAATTGTCATTCAAAGTGTGACAGCACTGAAAGCTGAAAATTGGCTTGGGCAGGAAGGGGGTATAAGTGCCTGATATTGAAGTGGTTAAGAAATGAGTAATGAACAAGGTGGCAAACCCCCCATGATTTGTTTTGCTGGCAAAACATGAAAAATGTACTGACAGTGCACATTTTTTGCTGATGCGCATATAAAAAAATATCACCAGGGCTGTAATAGGACATCAACTTCCAGAGTGTCAGTAGGAGGCTACGTCCAACGCGTTTCATCAACAAAAGATGTCTTCCAGGGCAGATGCGCAGTGTTTTTATTTATGTGAGTGAATTTCTTTGATAAAATAAATGTTATAGAGGTTTTATTTACACTATGGAGAGGCACCTGTTTGTTTCCTTTGAATGAGTTTTTATTATTGGAAATCAGGACATGGCTGTTTACTGAGCGGCTTTCCTGGTGGTTAGAGAAGATGTATGGAAGGCTCCACTGATGTATATAGAAACTGCTGACCATTCTTATTAAGGGGGTCATAGAGAATTGGTCAGCGTGCATCCTACTATCACTCTGGGTGAAGGTGCATGTTGGTGACATCACTGACACAACAACATTGCTGGATGAGGCACAAGTTTATTTGCTTTGCACATTTATGGGACTTATGTGAATGTAAGCAATTAGCACAGTAATACCCTAAAGTGAAAACAAAACTCAACTCATATACCACTGTTGCCACTAAACATCAGTAGTGCTCTTCCCCACACCATACATGTATATAGTTATATAAAAGATATAGAACAATAATCCTAGACACGGGCGGACTGACCATTTGAGCACTTGGGCACTGCCCGAGGGCCTGGGGTCAGTAGAGGGCCCCATAAAATACCCCTGGTACCTTTTTATATGCCTTTTTGGGTGTGTTTTGAAGGTGGGCAAGGACACAGGGGCCCCATGATCCCCAATTGCCCGGGGGCCCCATGAGTTGTCAGTCCGCCCCTGCCTAGACATCAATTGTGAATAACAAAAAGTCCATAAACATATGTATAGTCCATCACCAAAAATAAAATGAATAAATAATGTAATAATCCGTTTAAAAATGTCAATTCTTCAACATAGTGATAGAATCTTGTGTAATCTGTCTTAATCATCCAATCCTTTAATGGTTACCTCTCCCATCACCCAGTGCAATATATAAACTCACCATTGCAATTGGACCTCAATCTAAATTCAAGGTCGCAGAGGCACAATTTCACAAATCATCAGGAATGTTTAAAGCATTCCACTTGCTTCTTCTCCACTTCCAGTTTACAAGCACAGGTGCATGTAATCTATCTATTTAGTCGTATCCGACCCTTGATGATTGCATGGACCGTCACTCGTAAGTGACTTTTTCCATGAATTCTCTTAGCAATTATTTTGCAGGGTAGGTTGTCAGGTCTTTCCCCAACCCCTACCATGCCGGAGATCCTGCATGTCCAGGGATGAAACTAGGACAATTTAAACAAGAGCCAATTAACCTACCCGCATGTCTTTGGAGTGTGGGAGGAAACCGGAGTACCCGGAGGAAACCCACATGAACACAGGGAGAACATGCAAACTCCATGCAGGAGGTGCCATGGTTGGGAATTGAACCCATGACCCAATTACTGCAAGGCAGAAGTGCTAACCACTAAGCCACTGTGCCGCCCATGGTGCATGTAAACAAACATAAAAATAATAGTGCTCTCTGTACCCAAAGGATCTACTAATATTTATCCAAAAAATGCTCTCACGTTACTTTTATGCATGCATGCAATCAGATATGTGCACCAAGGATTAGGAATAGTGCAAACCTATATATGTATGGTCTGCTATCACTAGCTCCTCACCTCCTATATAGGACCCCAATATATACCAAGGTCACATGAGCTTGTAGTAACTCCTCCGCCACCAGGTCTCATCCACTTTCCAATACTCTCCTCCTCCTGCAGTTTGAATCAAAGGCAAATACAGAAATAGGGCTGATAGTGCTCTCTGATAAAAACACTCTTTATTAAAACCATCCAAAATACTAATCCCATTATATGAGCACCCGCAGTGCTACAATATACACCATGAAACCATACAAGGGATCATTCACAGTTGGCATTCAACACCCAGGACCATACACATTTTACAAAAGGTTTCTGCGTGGCTCCTCCCCTATACTCGTTACACCCTATGGGCTTCTTCAGTAGGTGTGGGGCCATGCTGCCACACTGCAATTTATAGCCTTCATCCTAAGGACCATTTATGTGACTCCCATTGTAGACATGGTTGCAAAACCATAAGTGATGCGATTGCAACCTGAAATGACGTATGGTCACAATCACGAAGCCAGAAGTGAAGCGATTGCTTCACCAAGCCTCATCCTGACACCAGAAGTGATGGGTATATTTCTCCCCCCTGGTGGCCACCGATACACAGGACACAATAACATTAGAATCCAGAGACTGGAAATGACACAATCTGGGGCACAATGACCTCCCACCCATAAGAATGGGAAATCTAAATAACAACAAACATTCGCCTCATTACTAAAAAAAAATTAAGTTAAAACGCCTACAAGGTAAGAAATAAATAAAAAGTATATAAAAGAATCCCAGGCACTGGAAGTGACACAACCATGCCCTCAAATGCCAACAGAGGGGGGCTAGATACACCTCACTTCTGCCCTGGATACATAAAACAATCCCATGTAGAACACCAATATACACACATCATAAATAATATCAACAATATAAATATGACCCCTCTTATCATTGGGTCTGTATTAATACGACCCATCCTTCCGTCGGGTCTACACTATTCATAATAACTAAATGTCAGCAATATAAAAATAAATATGAATATAAATCTAAATATATATGTCTGAAGAAGGCTCATAAATGGAGGAAACATTAATTATACTGGCCTGAAAAAATAATAAACTCATAATGGAGGGAATGTAGTGCTCATACCGGAAAAAAATTAACATCTGAAAATATAAATACCAGACAGAAGGGACTAAACAGTACTAATAAAACAATTTAAAAAATCAATGTTCAATCCCCCACAGGGAAAAAGGTATTCAATTAATATTTCCAATATGATTCTCTTTGACTAAGCCTCCTAAGGAAATTGCCACTCCTCCAATGCTTATCTACCCTTTCCACTATGCAAAATTGGAGCCCCTTGGGGTCTCTGTTATGATATTCCCTAAAATGTCTAGAGAGACAGAATGCGATTTTAACCCTTTCTTGATATTATTAATATCTAATGTCTAATGTTATCCTAAACTTATTCTGATTCTACATGCCACGAAAAGACAATATTACGATCGTTCATCAATCTTCCTCATGTAACATGTCAGGGAATCACCCCCCCTCCCATATAAAGAATAAGTTGTCTATATACCTCCTGTAACACTTTAGTTCTCTAGGTTTATACTTTAATATCCTTTCTGCCTCCTAGTGTGCCAAAAATCTGCATAAATCTGGTAAAGATGATGATAGTACCAAAAATCCTGTATAAGTTTCATATGCTCCCCGTGCATCTACCAGGGTCTTTCTTTGGGATAATAAAGAAGATGATGCTCATGTTCATATGGGCAAATAAGAAACCAAGAATTAGCTATGAGGTGTTGTCTAGGACAAAAGGGAATGGGGGTTTGGGTTTGCATAATTTTAGGAAATATTATTTAGTGGTAATATTATCATGAATAGTGGATTTGACATATAGGGCACAAGGGAAAGGTTGGGTAAACATGGAAGGGATTTTTAGTAAGGCACAGTTAGGGAAGATTGTCTGGATACCAAATAAATTACGTATATTGGATGTGAATATTAGTCCATTGACAAAGATTGTTTTAAGTGTTTGGGATATAATATAAAAGCAAAAGGGATAAAAATATAAATGAGTATTGATCCCCTTGGTGAGAACAGAGTATTTTCCCCCAGGGAAGGACAACATTAAAGATAAAAATGCACATTTGAAGGATATATTAAATAAAGGGAAATTGCACACTGCTCATGATTTAAAGAAGAAAAAAGATTTATTTTTCACATTAGATGAGTGGCGTCAATTAGGTAATTTTGTTGCAAGGCTCCGACAACCACTGAGGATGCTGGAGGGTCTGTATCCATTTGAAAAATTGTTGAACGTAAATATAGTTCCAAAACAAGTCACCTCTAAGATCTATAAGATTCTTATAGATATGGAAGGAGCTGATCCTCCCTTGTTCTTGGAAAAATGGGAAAAGGAACTTGGAACAGAATTGAATGAGCAACAAAAGAATAAAATATTTAAACTATTACATGAGGTAATGAATATGAGCACAGTGAAAATTAATTACAAATGTCTGGCGAGATGGTATATTACACCGAGTGTGGCACATAAACAACAAGTAGATGTTTCACCTTTATGTTGGAGAGGTTGTGGGAATAAGGGAGCAATGGCACATATATGGTGGGATTGCCTGAAAATACAGGACTATTGGAAAGAAATAATCCAATATATACAGGAAATAAGTGGGATCACCATACAGAAAGAACCGTGGATATGTTTATTTTATAACTTCGATCCTTCAGTGAAACTGCATAAAAACTGAGTATATCATTTAATCAGTGCGGCTAAGGGCGTGATTCCCAAGTTTTGGCAAACGCCAGAGCCACCAAGAATAAATGATTGGATAAATAGAGTTGAAAATATCTATAGGATGGAGGAGTTATATCATATAGAGGATGATAAAATAGAAAAATTCAGGAAAATGAGTAGCACGCTCTTTGAAACGTTTGCAAAAAATGTTGGAGCCGGAAAGAGCTTAAAGCAGAGCTCCACCCAAAAGGGGAAGTTCCGCTTTAAGGACTGCTCCCCCACTCCCCATTAAGGATTGGCACCTTTGGGGAGCGGGTGCCCGAATTTGACAGGTACCCGCTCCCACTTCCAGGCCAATTGCCTAGGCGATTGGAAGCGGAAGGTGTCCTCCCTCCCTCTTTGTGGTCTTTTGGGACACGTGACAGGTCCCAGAAGACTACAGGACCATTCACACATGCGCAGTAGGTACCTGGCTGTGAAGCCGCAAGCTATCACAGCCCACACTGAAGATGCCGGCCTCCTGGAATACAGGACGGCCGATGAAACGAGCTCCAGGGGACCGATGGACAGATAAGTGGCTGTTTTTTAAAAGTCAGCAGCTACAGTTTTTGTAGCTGATGGCTTTTATTTTTTGATAGGTTGAGTGGAACTCCGCTTTAAATCATTAAGGGGTGGGTCTGATAGCCTAGATAGCCCAGAAAGAAAGGGGAGTCCACCTTGTGGCCAGACAGGATTTCTTCTGGTGTGCTAATCTCTGTAGGTGTCTAAAGGTCAGGCCGGGGGTAAAGTCAGGGTTTTCCAGCAAGGGTTTGGAGTCATTGGTGAAGGGTTGTAGCTGATGACTTTTATTTTTTGATAGGTTGAGTAGAATCTCCGCTTTAAAGTCAGGGTTTCCAGAAATTGGAGTCATTAGCAAGGGTTGTGGCAACAAGGACATCATCCAAAAGACCAACCTCACTATCTCTAGGGTGGCCCCAATCAGGGGGTGGGTATGCATGTATCCAGGAAATGAAGCAGCAACCCAAGATGATGACAAAAGAGAGATGGAAGTGTCCTCGATCTCCATGGCTACCCATTGTTTTAGATCCGCATTGCAATGATAATCCATGACCCTCGAAAGGTGTACAGCTCTATAGTATATGAGGACATCGGGAAAGCCAATGCCCCCTCTCGCCTTTGGCAGAGAGAGAAGCTGTAGGCTTATACGTGGAGATTTGTGAAACCATACATAGTCCCTGAATAGGGAATGCAGTTTCTTGAAAAAAACTATGGGAATACGAATGGGCATGGCTTGTAAAATATAGAGGTTCTGCGGAAGAACAGTCATTTTTAAGGCATTGCATCACCAAACTCAAGTCAAAGCCAGGGAATTCCAATTCTGAAGGTCAATCAGCAGTGGTAGCAGGTTTGCCGAGTATAAAAAAGCAAGACCAGAAGTAATGTTTATGCCCAGATATTGTATAGATTTGTCCTCCCACTGAAAGGTGAAAGAGGAGCAGAGGCTATGGGCCTTGGAATCCGCAATTGTTACATTCAACGCCGCTGATCTAGATAGTATTTTAATGTTTTCATCTTCAAAATACAGGGGGTGGTGGTTTTCAAATTCATGTTGCCCCTTTAAATAGATCTTAGGGCATCATTTTTTGTAATGGGCAAGGTGTAACTGGAAATCATAGAACTTCATAGAAAAATTTAGAAGGAGCCCTTACCAGTTCACAAAGAACCTCTTCTCTGGCCATAACTCTCTGTGGTACCTGACAGTGTTGCCACTGATATCACAGCAACATAGGTTCAGATCAATGACCAGTAGCAGCAGAGCAGTTTGTGCAGCCTGTACACAGATAGGTGTGGGTGCTGATTAAAGAGGTCACCAGGGGACAGGCTCTAGTGTCTGCATCATTAGCAATTGAGCCATGGAGAAGGTAACATAAGAATAAACATCATGCCTCCTAACGTCCTAAAAACAGAAACAGGGAAACATATTATTAATAAAATATTTAAAGGACAAATTTATCCCAGAAGAAAATCCCCCCAACCACACTGAGAGCAGCCTACCTGGGATAATAATTACCATCCTCTTTGTAATCTTTTCTATAATATAGTCCTAGCGAGCTTGTTTTCATACTATGCATGCATGTCGTGGCCCATTAATTCCCATGGATAGCCAGTCTTATGGGGCCTCCATTAGTCCCCTTAAATATGGCTTAAAGCCACCTCATCACTTCTAAACTGTTTGGAAGGTGTGGGCCCCCTTCCCTGTTGTGATAGCAAAACAAAATGTAATTTAGAAAAATGAAAGAAAAAATGTTAAAAAAATACAGTTTATTAGGACAAAACAAATATACTCCAAAAAAAATGCCACAAAAATGTACAAAAGCGATGATTGCATAACGCATATTAGGTATGGAATGAAAATAATAATTCTAGGGCCATCATTTATGGTTAAGGGGAACTACATTTGACACTTTTTTGGGGTGAGTGGATACCTGTTATTGACAGGTACCCACTACCAATTCCACAGCCTTCTGGGACACTTCACAGGTCCCAGAAGACTGTGGGACCATTCACAAAGCACAGCAAGCTTCTTGCATCCGCAGTAGGAAAACCGGCTGTGAAGTTTTCCTTGCCGGCCCCTGCACCTGAAGCCGATTGAAAAATTGGCTCAGATGAGCACATCCATGGATCCCTGCACAGGTAAGAGTCCTTAAACTAACAGGATTGGTAGCTGCTGGAGTTCCGCTTTAACTCCTTACTGATGAGCTGTAAAGACTTTTAAAGTGTCTCGTATGGACAATTTTGTGCACTATTTTTTTTTGCTCTCTCAAGGACACACAATTTTGATGTTTTACATTTTTAGTATCTATTTACCCAACACAATCTCACCTTTTATATTTTACCATAAAAATTATATTATGTTTGCCTGCACAAAAATTAATTTGAGTGTATTTTTTCTGAAAATATAGGATTTGAGAATCAGTTGCAGTAACAGTGAGAGATATAAAAAAAAATTTAATTACCATCAAATTGTTCAATAGAACCTTAATTTCAGAAAATATGTAAGGTTTTAGGAGTAATCTTAAGTCTAAAAATGGGCACTTTAACTTGTGCAATTTTTTTTTAAATGGCTTTGGTAGAGAAATTGTTAATCCCTACACTATCAACAGGTTATAGAGTCCAGGGTTTTGTAAAATAATATGATCTTTAAGAAGATTATATTTTTAGAATCAAACTACAAACAAATTGTTCACCAAGCAAGCCATGACATAGGAATACAAGTGTTTGGTAAAGCCAAAATGTAGTAGTTTGGGTTTTGGATGCAGATATGGGGTTATGATTTTTTCACCACATTTAGAACTTTGAAAATAAACCTGCTGTTCCATTAGTTGTACATTGTACATAAAACGTTTTACAAGTATGAGTGTTTTTTACATGTATCAAGAGGTATCAAGCTCACTAACATAGTCAGCTCTGTTTCTACAACAAAAAAACAACATAGGAATGTGTGGAAAGCAAAAATACATGTATGAGTGATTTTTTATGTTGCTGATTTTTGATGCATGACACTTAGCAGATACGCTTCCATTTATGGCTGAAGGCTTGTGAACACATCACAGTCACACTGTTATGAGATTGTTTAACATCCAGCTCCAAACCCATGGTCATTTTTTATAGACTTGCCATTCCCCTGCAACTGTAACAACCGTCAGTCTTCTGGAAAGGTTTCTAGAAGGTATTAAAATGTATCTTTGCGAATTTGCACCATTTAACCAAAGGAGTTTTTCAGAGGTCAGATACAGAGGTTGGATGAAAATATATCCTCACAAGTCTCCATTCAAATTCATCCCATACACAAGATCAGGACTCCGTGCTGACAAGTTTCTCCACCCCAAGCATATCAGACATGTCAATGCATTGCAACGTAGTGCTGTGCATAGAGTTGAATGAATAAAAGTGTTTTAACAAATAAAAAATAAAAAATAAAGCACTGCGATGCATTGTAACAACACACTGCAGTGCACATGCACAACGCATACCAGTGTGTACTTTTTGCATAATAAAACACATATTTTCTGATGTGAATGGACCTTTACTGTGTTAGTACATAACCAAAGTGTGTCTAATGCACATGTATAAGTTGTGTGTTAATGTAATGTACAACACTGTGCAAAAGGCAGGTGTGAAGAAATGCTGTAAAACAACAATGCTTTAAAAAATATATATTTTACTTGTTAAGTTGTATCAATTTACAAAATACAAAGTGAGCGAATAGAAGAAAAATCTAAATCAAAGCAATATTTGGTATGACTACCCTTTTGATTCAAACCAGCATCAGTTCAGCGTTTTTGAAGAAGCACAAACAAATGGGAATGTTGAGGACTGTAGATGCAGCGGTCGGTCAAGGAAACTCAATGCAGCAGATGAAAGACACATTATGCTAACTTCCCTTCGACATCAGAAGATGTCCAGCAGTGCCATCAGCACAGAACTGGTGGAAACCAGTGGGACCCAGGTACTGTCTAGAGAAGTTTGGCCAGAAGTGGTCTTCATGGAAGAACTGCGGTCAAAAAGCCATAACTCCAATGTGAAAGCAAGGCTAAGCGACTCAACTGTGCATGAAAACATAGGAACTGTCAGGAGGCAGTTTATTCACTGAAGGGCTAGAGAGTGGTACAATAATGAGTGTCCGCAGGAAACAGTGAAGCATGATGTAGGTTTCCTTGCAAGTTTGAGGCTGGATTTCTGCACATAGAGTTAGAGATTTGGTCAGGATCAATGGTGTCCTCAATGCTAAGAAATACAGACAGATACTTATCCATCATGCCATACTATCAAGGAGGCATGTGATTGGTTACAAATTTAATCTGCAGCAGGACAAAAACCCCAAACACACATGTCTTTAAGAACTATCTTCGAGTAAAGATGATCACAGTGTCCTGGAATCATGGAGTCTGTCTGGGATTACATTAAGAAAAAGGATCTGAGGCAGCCTACATCCACAGAAGACCTGTGGTTAGTTCTCCAAGGTGTTTGGTCCAAGCTACCTGCCAAATTTGTTCAAAAACTTTGCGCAAGTGTACCTAGAAGATTGATGCTGTTTTGAAGGCAAAGGGTGGTCACACCAAATATTAATTTTATTTGGATTTTTCTTCTGTTCATTTACTTTTAAATTTATTAATTGATAAAAATAAACTAATAACACTTCTATTTCTGAAAGTATTTTTTCACAACTGCCTATAACGTTTGCACAGTATTGTATGTGTGTTGGGAGGGGTGTTTTATTTCTTTTTTTTAAAGATTTTTTCATTTTGTTTTTTACAAGTGGGGCTTTGGGGAAATATTAGGGGTCTAGACAGACCTCTTATGTTTTCCCTTTGGGTGGAAGAAAAGATCAAGGACACAGTCTCCTTTTCTTCTGCCACCTGGCACTTATTACTGAACACAGAAGTACTCAGAACTAAGCATTTCCCTGTTCATTCACAAACTGAAGATATAGTAAACATGTTGTTCTTGTTTACCAATCCCTTCAGTTGTGAATGAGCACCAGAATGTTTAGTTCTGAGAGACATCCAATTCTTCCACCTGTGTGTTTGCAATACGATCTATTCCATAACTGCGGTTTCTGCCAATACAGGTTGGGGGGAAGCAGCACGGATTGAAAGCCACACAGGAGACCGTGGATTGTGAAAGAGATCAGATTGTTGGCACACAGTGGGGAGGATCAGTGGCAGTCAGTCCACACTGTGGAGCAGTGGAGATTACATTTTTAATCAATGGCTGTGATCAGAGGTTTGACAACTATTGATTATAGCTATTCATTAATTAGCAGAGTCTAGTGGATGCTTCTGCTATATGTTCATGCTCACTGAAGTGGCCATGGGCTTATAGCCTAAGGGAATGCCAAGGATGTAAGGGTTACTGATCTGGTCAGCTGCAAGCAATTTTGTTTAAAAAAAAAATTACATCCATGGTAGTGAAAGTGTTCAAGTACAGTATATACAAATCCAAAACTGTGTTTAGTTTTAAATGGAAAAAAACTGTTAAAATCACCGTCAGTTTTTTTTTTATTTCTGTCTGTTTTCCAGTGGAGTGATTTCCCTTTACTTCTTGTCTCAAAGACACAAACAGTAAGTGAGAAAATTCTCTGTAATGTGAGGGGCAATTCACTCTCATAAAATACTCGCTCACACTCTAGACAACTGCACATATTTGGATTTTCCCTAATTTTTTAGTATCAGTGACAATGGTTTTAGAGAAATTAAAGGTGAACCTCCCAAGCAAAAACAATTACAACAACATACAGAGTCACTAACCCTTCTCCACTGTATCTAATTTTTTAACATAAGGTTTAACTTTAGTCGCAATTTAACCAATTGCCTAAAAGTCCCTTTTACCCCCTTCCTGCCCAGGTCAATTTTCACCATTGTTGCACTTTCAATGACAATTGCGCGGTCATGCAACACTGTACCTTAACACTTTATTTATCATTTTTTTAGACAAATAGAGCTTTCTTTTGCTAATATTTAATCACCACTGGGGTATTTATTAATTGCTAAACAAACGAAGAAAAAAACAAAAGTTTTGAAAAAAAAAAGCTTTCCTTAGGTTCTGTTATAAAGTTTTGCACATAAGTGATTTTCCTCCTTCACTGATATGCACTGATGTGGCTGAACTGATGGACACTGAAAAGCAGCACTTATGGGCATTGATAGGCAGCACTAAGGGGCACTGATAGGCGACACTAGTGGGCACTGACAGCCAGCAATGATAGGCACTGACAGCCAGCACTGAGGACGCACTGATAGGTACTGATAGCCAGCACTGATGGGCACTGATAACCAGCACTGATGGCACTGATAGCCAGCACTAATGGGTAGTGATACAAATCACTGATACGCACTGATGGGCCCTGATACAAAGCACTTATAAGCACTGATACAAAGCACTTATAAGCACTGATGGGCACTGATACAAAGCACTGAAGGGGCTACACTGATCATCAGGGCACTAGTGTCCCCCCTTAGAAATGCTGCTTCCCAGCTCTCCTCTCACTCACATGCACCTAGGGGGTGTGGTTCTGGAAGGATGTCCATGGACACCCTCCTAGAAATAGACGAACGCACTGTAGCCGTCTTTTGACTGTAGCGTGGTCCGGAACTGGTTAAATAGAAAACAAAAACATAGCAAAAGTGTTTATAAAAACATAAGCACATGAACATAGAAGTACTGTCTATAACATTTTTTACAAGAGATGTGCACAACAGAAACATTTGTTTTGTTTCAGTTTCATTCATTAAACAAATAATTTTGTTTCATCATAATGGTTATGTTAAAATGATTCATTTTCGGAACTATTCATTATTTTGTGAGAGTATATAGTCATTGTTCCAAATTGATTTGTATTTTTGGAAGTTCTGTTATTGTTTTGTTATTTTGGAAGATTAGCTATATTAGCTATATAAAATATTGGCTATATATTATTACTAATTCATTAATATGTATTCTTTCATTATGTTATTAAAGTGGAACTTTAGTCAGAAAATTAAATCCTGCTAGATCACTTCAGACTGGCACATTTTGCAGGTATAGCTATGTAGAAATATGAGAATAAGTGCCTAT